TTTTTTTTTTTGAGACAGAGTCTCACTCTATCACCCAGGCTGGAGTGCAGTGGTACGATCTTGGCTCATTGCAACCTCCATCTCCTGGGTTCAAGTGATTCTCCTGTCTCAGCCTCCCAAGTAGCTGGGATTACAAGTGTACACCAATGCACCCAGCTAATTTTTGTATTTTTTATAGAGATGGGGTTCCACCATGTTGGCCAGGCTGGTTTCAAACTCCCAACCCCAAGCAATCCTCCTGCTTCAGCCTCCCAAAGTGCTGGGATTACAGACGTGAGCCACTGCACCTGGCCTCCTTTGCCTTTTTAAGGAAGAAATTCCATGGAGAGGTGTGGTTGGATTGCCTTGGGGACATGCTTTTCCTTAATGGATCATGGTAGCCAGAGAGGTGGAATAATTCTGTGAAGGACTTTAATTGGCCAGGCATAACCCCTGGATAAAAGAGTAGGGAGGGAATAGGGTGGGTGTCTTAGCTACCTGAATTAGACCACAGGGACTGAGCATAGGAAAGAGATGTTTCTTCAAACACAAGCGTGGCAAACCAAGATCCTGAGTCTCCTACACCTACCAAGAGGCTAAACACACCCTTTTTGCCTTAAGAGAAAGCCTTTTAATACAGTCCATTCTCACACTGCTGATAAAGACATACCCGAGACTGGGTAATTTATAAAGAGGGTGAATGGACTCACAGTTCCACATGGCTGGAGAGGCCTCACAATCATGGCAGAAGGCAAGAAGGAGCAAGTCACGTCTTCCAAGGATGGCAGCAGGCAAAGACACAATGAGAGCCAAGTGAGAGGGGTTTCCCCTTATAAAACCATCAGATCTCACGAGACATATTCACTACCATGAGAACAGTATGGGGGGAAACTGCCCCCATGATTCAATTATCTCCCACTGGCTCCCTCCCACAGCATGTGGGAATTATAGGAGCTACAATTCAAGATGAGATTTGGGTGGGGACACAGCCAAACCGTATCAGCATTCCCAGTTTCCAACCCCCTTGATCTTTTCCAGGTGATTGTCCAGCGGACCCTGGCTGCCAAGAACCTGTCCCATGCCAAAGGAGGTGCTCTGATGGCTGCGTACCTGAAGGTGCTGCCCCTCTTCATAATGGTGTTCCCTGGGATGGTTAGCCGCATCCTCTTCCCAGGTGAGAACACAGCTAGGGGAAGAGGTCATCGGTATGTGAGTCTCAGACTGTGAATTATTCTAAACATATTATTAGAAGCCTCAAGAGAATGTGACTACAATCCTTTCTCTCTTTTTCTAAGACAGAGTCTCATTCTGTCACTCAGGTTGGAGTGCAGTGATGCAGTCATAGCTCACTGTAACCTTGAGCTACTGGGCTCAAGCAATCCTCCCACCTCAGTCTCCTGTGTGGCTGGGGATACAGGTATGCA